ATTCTCTTTGTAAGTGACTTGATGGATTGTAAAGGTGTTCTGCTGGATCACACCAGCTTTGTTGTACGTTCTAATATAAACTGTACTCATAGAGAGTATCAACAAATTTGTAAAGCTATTCCTAGCCTTGATCCACCTTATCCAGCTTTTTTTTTTTTTTTACGCATTTCGATTGTTTCTGTATATTCTGCTGTCGACATCTAATTTGGCACCATTTAGAACTATTGAGATGTTTGGATTTTTTTTACTGCAATTAAAGACGATACAGGAAGGAAGTACTAACATACTGCGCAGTTCAAATAATGTAGCCTATAATTGTTATTTCCATTTGCAGTAGTAAGGTTTATTTGCATTAAGAGGCACACTAAAACTGACACACAAAAGCTGCATTTAAGTAAAATACATTTGTTTTTCTTTAGATTTTGAATTGGCGTCGGAACCACTGTATGTGAGACAAGACCCACCCACATTTTAATTCCGATGATATAGGACCCACTCACTTTTACCGTCTTCAACCCTTGTACTCTGTTCGTTTGGGGGTGACACTCCTACAGGGACCAAAATGTAATTTTGTAACAAAATAATAGTTAAACCAATTTTTTTTAATTTTTTTTTTAATTTTTTTTATTTTTATACTCAGTTTATTAATACTCCTCATTTGTACAGATGTAAAAAAAAAGTGTATATATATATATATATATATATATATATAAATAAAATAGGTTTTTATACAAAAACAGCTTTTATGTTAAATTTGCGTTATAAAAAAACCCACATTTCTAATTTTAATTAATGGGGATAACATGGTCAATGTCCCATAGTTTAATGCCAAATAGTTTACACCTGCTTGAAAACAAACAATTTTAAAATAACTATATGTGTGTGTTTGCATTTATTCTCCATCGTGGATGTGCTGTGGTGCCCCTCCATCATTTCTGTGTGTGTTCTTTGTTGTAGCTGATTTTTATTTGTCAAATTGTGAAAGAGAGCCACTCATGTCATGTCAATTTTTCATTTCTTATGAGTGGGTTTTATGGGTTTGGGGGGTGGGGTGGGGGTAGTGTGTGTTTTTCCTTCATCGTGGATGTGCTGTAGTGTCACCCCTTCAAATTTTGTGTTGTCTGCATTGTACCTGACATTTTTGACAAATTATGTAACAAAAAAAGCTATATTTTTATAGTCTACAATTGATGTCTATGGGTGATTTTTTTTTTTTTTTTTTTTTTTTTTTTGGGGGGGGGGGGGTGCGAGAGTAATCGTTCTGCATTGTGGAAGGGTTGTCACTTAATTTTCATGTATTTTGTGGTCTGCATTGTGTTCACATTAACATACAACCAGATATCAATCCAGTTATATATTTTTTTTTTATCTGTAGAGCAGTGTTTCTCAACCCTGGTCCTGTGCGCCCCCCAACACTGCACATTTTATATGTCTCCCTTATCTGACACCCATTTCAGGTCCTGGAGTTTCTTTTAATGAGCTAATGAGTTGAATCAGGTGTGTTTGATTAGGGAGACACACAAAATGTGCAGTGCTGGGGGGCGCCCAGGACCAGGGTTGAGAAACACTGCTGTAGAGCTACCAAGTGTCGACAACATAAGTCTACAAAGTCTCATGCCATTTAGATAAAAGGAACTTTTAAAAAAAAAATTTTTTTCAGCAAACGTCATTTGGGGTCAAAAAGACCCCAAACAGAGTATAAGGGTTAATTCAGCATATAAGTCTGTTTACTTTCCAGAGCGCCGTCAGTCAAATCCATTCCACTTAAGGAATGCCCTAATAAATTAAAATCCATTCCGCGTTTTAGCTACAGCCTTGACTTCCATGCGGCTGCTTACTCAAATCCATTCCACTTGGCTCATTAACAGTCCATATAAATTAAACTCCATTCCATATTTTCACTACTCGCGCCTTCTGCACTCCTGAGACACAGCAAGGTAAACAAAGCATCTTAATCTTAGCACATCTGCTGCGGACTGTTCCGGGAAAAGATTCAAAGCTTCGAGTTTGTCGAAAACAAGGCCATCTGGTGGTTATTAAAAAATATAGCAGCCAAAAGCCTGTGAAAGACGCTCTGTCGGACGAAGCAGCCACCACACATTCCATAGATCGACTCATGTTACGATCATGTTACATCTAACAGTGTGTGCGTTTGTTGATTTTCCCTCTCTGATAAAATAATTTACCCGTTAATCTGGGCATTAAATAGGAATATCAATATGATTTTATAGAAGAATAATGTACAAATTGTACAAATCTAATAACGTTAAAACACTAAACATTTTTTATAAATGGGTTATGACTTATGTTATTGTCACTAAAACATTGTCACTATAACTGTTTCGGACACATTTAACACTTGTTTCACAGAAAAAAAAAGCACAGTCCTTAATGGGGGCGTTTCCCCCCCCCACTTTACCCTATATGAATTGCATATGGCCAAAAAACAAACTCTATATATATATTTTATTTTTTTTTTTAATTTTTTTTTTTAATTCTTTATATTGGCTGCTTGTATTACTGGGTATTTAAATTTTAATTGAATAAGTCAGAGTGAAATGTGACCTTTTGTGACAGTGTCACAGGCTGGGCATTAAATAGGAATATCAATATGATTTTATAGAAGAATAATGTACAAATTGTACAAATCTAATAACGTTAAAACACTAAACATTTTTTATAAATGGGTTATGACTTATGTTATTGTCACTAAAACATTGTCACTATAACTGTTTCGGACACATTTAACACTTGTTTCACAGAAAAAAAAAGCACAGTCCTTAATGGGGGCGTTTCCCCCCCCCACTTTACCCTATATGAATTGCATATGGCCAAAAAACAAACTCTATATATATATTTTATTATTTTTTTTTTTTATTTTTTTTTTTAATTCTTTATATTGGCTGCTTGTATTACTGGGTATTTAAATTGTAATTGAATAAGTCAGAGTGAAATGTGACCTTTTGTGACAGTGTCACAGGTTTTTGAGAGGTTTTATAAAATTTATTTGTGCAGGTTTTGTCCTTCAGTTCTGTCTCTGATGTTCACTCTCATTTTGAGACCCTCACCGCAACTATCAACAGTCCATCAGCCTCCTACATCCTCAAACTGGCCAACCGCCTCTATGGAGAGAAAACCTTCAGCTTCTTACCTGTGAGTCCATTTCATAGATGTGGAATAACATTTTGACAAGGGCTTCTGCAGCTTAGGTCACGGATACACACATCATGCACATGCAATGAGGGCTTCAGAGAACCATGTGATCCACATAAATTAAATTTACTGCAGTAAAATATTGAATTTATAATCAAATTAAACAACAATCATTTTTGATACTGTTCTCCAGTCTTGCTCATTCAAAGGTGGTCTATTCTGCCTGCAATAATGTGACATTTTCATGCATATCATGGTGTGTGTGTGTGTTTGTATTATGCAGGAGTATTTGGACTCCACTCTGAAGCTGTACCACGCTGAACTTCAGGCTGTGGACTTCATTGGAGCATCTGACGAGTCCCGACAGCTCATTAACAAATGGGTGGAAGAGCAGACAGAGAGTGAGAAATTAGTAACATCAAATCAGAATGTGGATGGGAACGTTTATAGGCTAATCACTTTCAGCTTTATTTGCTTTATAGGCTATATGTGAAAGTATATTTAGTATAAGACTGTATAAATTAATGCAAATGATCAGAACACTATAAATAATGAAATGCTGTTTTTGTTTTGTTTCAGATAAAATTAAAGATCTTCTTCAGCCAGGTGTGATAAATGGGCTGGCCCGACTAGTTCTGGTTAATGCCATCTACTTCAAAGGAAACTGGATGCACGTATTTGAAGCAAGAAACACTAAAGAAATGCCGTTTAAAATAAACCAGGTGCAATCTGCATTTTGTTTCAGGGGTGCAACAGCATATGAAAAATTAATATAAAGTTGATGTTGAATTTTTTTTAAAGTCATTTTTGTATTTATTATGCATTCCTTCATTTAATGACATTTGTCTTTAATCAGAATGAGAGCCGGCCTGTGGAAATGATGTACCGGGAAGAGACATTCCCTTTCAGATACATCCCAGAGTATAAACTGCAGGTGCTGGAGTTACCATATGAACAGGAGGAACTCAGCATGTTGATCCTTCTTCCAAACGAAACTCAGGATGGCTCTGATCCTCTTCTGAAGGTCAGCAAAAGTGCCATGAGCAGAAAAAGTGGATAGTTTGAATCCTATGGAATAGTTTGGTGCCGTGTATGTTTTTTTTTTTCAGCATGTATGTCTATTTGCAAAAATATGATACTTCTTTTCTTTTAAAGAGGAATGTCTGAAGAACAAATAATGTTGAAACTAGATATGTATCTCGTTTACTTCTGTCAAAGCAACTGCATTGAACATACATGTCTGAGTGCCATAAATATTCTTTTTCCAAAGTTTGCATGCCTATAACTCAAGAAGTATTAAAGATATTGCAATATGATTTCAGATTACAGTTCTTAATAAACTTTTCTTTTGGAATCTTCATTTTCAGGCCCTACATCATTCAGTGCCAGAGATTTGGGGATCTCAAAATGAGGCTCCATTTTCAGATTGTTGAATATTACCTATATTTAGTTGCTGAAAAGTAAAAGTTGGTCACTTTGTATACAGCTGATACTCAGTGTATTTAAAGCAGGATGCCTGAAGAATAAGTAATGTTGAAACTAGAAATGCACCTTGTTTCCCTCTATCAAAACAATATGCACAGATCATACCTGTCAAAGGGTAATTTTTTTTCTAAATTGAGATTTATACACCATCTGAAAGCTGAATAAATAAGCTTTCCATTAATGTGTGGTTTGTTAGGATAGGACAATATTTGGCCGAGATACAACTATTTGAAAATCTGGAATCTGAGGGTGCAAAAAAAATCTAAATATTGAAAAAAATCGCCTTAAAAGTTGTCCAAACGAAGTATAATAGTTCAATAATTTTGACCCATACAATGTATTTTTGGCTATTGCTACGTGTGTGTGTGTGTGTGTGTATAATTTCACTTATTGTGGTAAATAACAGGAATTGTCATGCCTAATATAAATACAAATCAATATCTGTCAGTTCTCTCACTTTTAACAACACCAACACTCAAGTGAGTAACCGATCCCCATTTGTGTATTGGAGTAACAACAGATGGCTTCACGCGGGCTCTGTCTCCAACTACAATGTCAAACGAAGGCCTCTTTGCAGACAAATCTGAAACTAAAAGTACGAGATTACATTAAACCATTCATTAAACCATTTTTCTTCACTCACAAACAGTGTTGGGGGTAGTAACGCATTACAAGTAACGCGAGTTAAGTAATCAGATTACTTTTTTCAAGTAACTAGTAAAGTAACGCATTACTTTTTAATTTACAAGAGAATATCCGAGTTACTTTTTCAAATAAGTAACGTGAGTTACTTTTTTTTTCCAATTTATTGATTGACAGCTCTCCTGTCCCCATGTTGAGAGAAATCAGATGTTACTGTAGTTCTAAAATAAATATGAATATGCATTAATTCATCTCACTCACACAAAAAAACAGATTCAGTATTCCTCAAAATGAATACAAATAATGCAGCTCATAATATGATGCAAACCTGCAATAATTAAATGTTAAACAACACAAATATCCTTTATGTATTTAATCCCATTCTATTAACCAATGTCTTTGCTTCTGACCTTCGATGATCCAGTTCAACCGTACTAATAAGAAAAAATTACTCTAGACAAACATTTGTGTGTATTTTTTTATTGCTGAAGTGTGTTGAAATTTCTTCTTCTGCATTCTACTGTACAGACGTAAATTTACTTTCCATTCAGCCTGAGGCTTATTCATTTCACTTTTGAAAAGGCTTTTATATTTGCCAAAAATATAACTTTTTATTTTAAAAACAAACAAGCAAGCCCTGTCCAGATTTAAAAAGTAACGCAAAAGTAACGTAACGCATTACTTTCCATAAAAAGTAACTAAGTAACGTAATTAGTTACTTTTTTATGGAGTAACGCAATGTTGTAATGCATTACTTTTAAAAGTAACTTTCCACAACATCGCTCACAAATAAGATTAGATGCAAGAAATCATTAAATGGTAATCATTGTTACTTTACCTTTATTAACTGTTTTGCTTATCTCCTGTGTGCAAGTAGTCTCAAGTCTCCCAGTAAGTTCACATATAAGTTTTCTTACGTCCTCAAAAGAGCAGTATGGCTGAAATGAGAAACTCTGCAACTCATCAGATCCAGATGAAGAGGACACAGTCTCATAATTCTGAGGGGGAAAATATTCAAGTACTAAGTAATATAACTTTCAGATGAACTGGAAATATTTGAACAGTCTGTTATGTCTTATAATTTTTGCTTCTAATATATAATCATATTACTTATAGTGCTTGTACCTGAAGAAATTGGATGTTGTCTTCTGTCTGTAGAAGATCCTCTAGAACTCCTTCCCTCTTCTTCAGCTCAGTAATTTCCCCCTCCAGCTTCTTTTGAAGCTTTGTGCCGTGATCCAGATCAGCCTTTTCTTGAGCTTTTATTTCTTCAATCACCTCATTGCTTTTTTTCTCAATAAGTTTGACTAATTCACTGAAGACTTTCTTACTGTTCTCCACTGCCTTCTTTGCAGAATCCTAAGGAGAACCAAAGCAAAACAAAAATGTTGTTTACAATTACAAGATCCAACATGGCAGTGATTAACCTTGTGTCAGTTGATAAATGCAGAATTGTTCTGTATAACTGTGAAAGTTATTTGTTTTACATCAGAACTTACTGAATGGGATGTGATGTCCATTTTCATCTTCTGCAGCTCTTTTTCTTTTGCCTGGATTGTCTGCTTGACGTTTGTCTGAGAGTGTGTAAGATTTATCTAAGGACAAATCACAAGTCACAGTCTTGTGAATGTTTTTCCAAAAACATTTGTCAGTAGCATTTTTTAACTACTTTGTTACGAGTAGGACTGTCAAAGTTAATGCGTTATGCAATGCGATTAATAAAGCAACTTATGTGGTTAATTCAAAATATCCTTAAAGGGTTAGTTCACCCAAAAATGAAAATTCTGTCATTAATTACTCACCCTCATGTCGTTTCAAACCCCTAAGACCTTCGTTCATCTTCGGAACACAAATTAAGATATTTTTGATGGAATCTTGAGAGCTGTCTGACCCTGCATAGACAGCAACATAGCTGAAATGTTCCCAAAGTCTGTAAAATAATCCACGTGACATCAGGGGTTCAACCGTAATTTTACGAAGCTACGAGAATACTTTTTGTGCGCAAAAGAAAAAAAAAACGACTTTATTCAACAATTCGTCATTTAAAGTCTGCATTCAAAATAAAGTCATTTTTTCTTTTTCTTTTGCACACAAAACGTATTCTCGTAGCTTCGTAAAATTACGGTTGAACCCCTGATGTCACGTGGATTATTTTACAGACTTTGGGAACATTTCAGCTATGTTGCTGTCTATGCAGGGTCAGACAGCTCTCAGATTCCATCAAAAATATCTTAATTTGTGTTCCAAAGATGAATGAAGGTCTTACGGGTTTGAAATGACATGAGGGCGAGTAATTAATGAAAAATTTTCATTTTTGGGTGAACTAACCCTTTAACGCGTTAAAATAATTAAATGCAAATAACTTACTAAAGCACAAAGTTACATCACACTCTGTGTGATATACAGACAGAAGCGAACGAACGTCAAAACATCCCACCGCTGTATGGCCAAATGATACGCAAACTTCTCAGCTGGATAAAGCAAATCAGCATCACACTAGTAAAGTTTTGCAAAATGAGGATTGGAATCAAAGTAAGGATGATTGCGATGACGTACCGGGTGCTGTATAGTAAGCATGTATGTGCGGTCTGGACAGACATAGTATGTATGCACAAACACATTTGAGTACATTCACATTTGTTCCACATACATTCAGAATTATGTTTTGATTCGTCATGTGTATGTTGCTGTGTTTAGTCATTCTGAATGGATCTGTGTACTATAGTAGGTATATTTAGTCAGGTCAAGTCGGTTCATTTGCTTTTGTTTTTTTGTTGTTGCTTTTTTGGCATCTCCATGTGGTCCTATTCAGAATCGCAATTGGACTCGTCCAAAATGTGAATAAGCTCTTTGCTGTTGCACTGTACGCATGGCCTACTATACACTGTAAATTTTTTATAATTTTTTTTTCTATGTGTGCTTTGGTATGCATTTATTTATGAATTAGAGGCCTTCTTATATCACTTGATTATTTGGTGTCCTTTTTTGTAGACACCTAAATTTACTTTGAAAAGATCTTACTGAAAATAAATTTTTGTGTGAATCACCCTTAAATCTGATGCCTTACTTTGTTGGATATAAGAAATTATGACAAAATGAATGTGCTAAACAACTGGCCTATGCTTATTTTCTTGAAAAGAGTGCAATTAATCGTGATTAATATTTCTAAGCCAGGGGTCAAATCAGGGGTCAGGGGACCAAACTTGGTCCTGGAGGGCTGGTGTCCTGCAGAGTTTAGCTCCAACCCTAATCAAACAACCTAAACTAGCTAATAAAGGTCTTGCTAGGTATACTTGAAACTTCCAGGCAGGTGTGTTGAGGCAAGTTGGAGCTAGTCTGCAGGACACCGGCCCTCCAGGACCGAGTCTTGGTGACCCCTATTTTAAACTATTGACAGCACTTACGAGTCATTAAAGAAAGAAAAAAAAGATGGACATCTTCACCTGTTTCTCGTTGCGCTCTATTGTAGATGGTACTGTGTCATGGCCCTTGTGGTCATCCAATAAGCAGTGCATGCAGACACATTTCTGGTCCGTTCGACAGTAAACCTCAAGGAGCTTGTCGTGTTTGGGGCATACTGGAATGACCGCAGCTTTCACCAGCTTGTGTTTCTTCAGGGCAGGAACATTATAGTGGGGCTGTACATGTGTTTCACAGTAAGAGGCTCGACACTCCAGACAAGACTTGACAGCTTTGATCATTTCTCCAGAACAGAAATCACACGCAATCTCTCCAGGACCAGCAAGACTTTGAGCAGACTCTGTACTCCTCAGTTTCTCCATTATTTCAGCAAGCACTGTACTTCTGTTGAGTGGAGGCTTTGAATTGAAGGTATGTCTGCATTGTGGACATCTATACTTCCCTTTCTGATCATTTGTATTCCAGCACTCATTGATACAGCTCATGCAGTAACTATGTCCGCACGGAATAGTCACGGGATCCCTCAACAACTCCAAACATATTGAGCAGCTGTACTGGTCGTGATCTCCGAGTATAGCCTCTGCCATTTCGCTGCCAACACGTACTAAGACACTAAAAAAGATTTGTCCTGATCTTGTCGTTCCACAAAAGGGTGTTTATCAAAAGACCCGCTCTTGTTAGAAAAGCTATGCGTTGTGTAATCTAAAAAGAGAGAGAGAAAGTGAAAGTAAAGAATTGGTCTAACACTATTATTCAAAGCTAATAATAACAGGCTAATAATAATTCTGAAATATACAAACAACACAGCAATACAGTTTAAATACAGAACTGAAGAAAAATTTGTATTTACCTGATGACAATTCGTTGTGTGCGTCATAACGAGGTGGCAGGAAACGTGCGCGGAATTTTGACCTTTGATCTTTTCATGGCTTGAATTGTTTGTTCAAAGTACATGCTCGTCGTATTTTAATTGTGTATCAAATACTGAGGAACAGTTTATGTGCACACATAAAAATTAAGAAAGAAAAACACAGTGCAGTTAAAAGCATAAACTAAGATTCGGGACTAATGAGTAAACGCGAAGATCTGAGCGCGTGCCCTTTTTCAGTAGTGTCTTTTAGTATAGCCACTAGATGGAGGCACTGAATAGAGTACAGTGAGTCTTGATTTCGTTATCATGTGACAATGAACATTCTTCCTCTTTCAGAGTATATAACAGATTTTTAGTGTCAAATAATCAGATACATTAAATGCGTGTAGATTCACTGACAACCTCATTAAGTCTTAGCATTAATCTGGAGATGAATTCTCTCCCACCATGATTTAATGTTTTCTAGGTAGGTCTAAGTGAGAAATGTAAGTGAATGCCATTTCATTTGTGTTTTCAGCAAAATGGAGCCCAGGGGACACCTCAGTTTAGGGTCAGAGGAGAAACAAAAATTCCCCAAACTGGTGAAAAACGTCCAACTGATAGGACTTGAACCCATTTAAGGCACAAGTACCAACTCCACAGTATTATAGCAAAATGAAACTCCCAACTCACATCCTCAGAAAACTTTGAATTTTTTATTTTTCCAGAATTCACATTTTCACTCAATTTATTTACACTATAATCTTAAGTTTATTTGAAAAACAACATTTACTACATTCCTATTGCTGTCCATTTAACACAGCTGAACTGTAAAAGTGAGTGCTAAAATGTGTGGTCAAAAATAATATTATCAAAACTTACTATAATCTGATTTTCTTGAAATTGTTCAAAATGACAAAGGACAGTTACATAAAAATGTCAGAAAATGTCCAGCTTTTTTCCGACACAAAATAATATGCCTACAATTTTGTTTTTCTTTAAAAATATATATTTTAATGATTTATTTAATTTTTTTACTTTACAGTTTGTATCTCCTCCAACATCACCTCCTGCTTCTCAAATGTCTGTACACCACAACATACAGAAAGCATTTAAAGATTCGAATGAACAGATTAAATTTAATTAACATACTGTGTGCTCATATTAGTTACATGACATAAAAAGAAAACAGTCATAAATGTAAAAATGCTCCAGAAAATTACCGTGCAAACACTGCCACTTAATAACAACGTTAATATCTGACACTGCCATCAGTATAACTCACTTTGAATAAAATGTGAATCTTTCAAATATGAATGATTCTCTGAATGTTTCCTATATCCATTAAACTCTTCTTTGGGCAGTGGGAATGGCTGAGAAATTGGACCGCTAAATAACACTGTTATGCGGTGTAGCTACTTTGAGAGATTATATATTCGTGCGTGTCCATTTGATTTTTAAGATGCCTCCAAAACAAGATGTGCATTGTTGAAGTTGGGGCCCAGGGTAGAATCACAGACGCTTTTGTTCGGGGCTCCCCGTTCCTGCGAAGGCCTGCTGTCGATCAAGAAGCAAGCGTCCGCCCCCATCGGCCCTTTCACTCACTGCTGCAGCTGGCTGCTCACCGTCTGCTCTCTGCAATCTGTGCTGGAGAGGCCAAAGGAGCTACAGCTTCAGTATTAAACCCGGCCTACAGACGCTTATGACGCTCGCCACCAAACAACACAAATAACACGAGGTAAGCCTAAGCGTACTGGCATGTGCGATTTAAATACAATCTATATTATTATGTAGTCGCACCGTTTAAGATGGTCTCGATCCGCGATGGTTAAATCGCAGCGCGGTCGATTTCGAAAAGCGGCATGTTTGCGGAAGTGACCGGGCGGTCCATGTTTAGCCGCCCATGTTATTTGCCTTTACTTGTCATGTGTGTGTTTCCAAAATATATTTCACTCTCACGTGCATTTTGTCGACACGGTAACCGTTCGGAAAAGTTGAAGATGCTGTTTGGGTTGGCGAAGTTGACTAGCCAGCGGACCTCTTTGAAAAATCAAAATGGCTTCCATCTTTGTCGTCTCAGCAGAGAGGTTAATACCTTTGTTTCCTCGTCTCGCATGTCAGGGAGTCTGTGAGTAACCTCCTTTTTATATTTATCTAGTGGATTATTGTCCATCGAACCTTCGAATGTAGAGTTTGGGTGTTTATTTCACTGGTTTTTATTGATTTTGTTACTCATCCAGTGGCGCACTTTTTGACCACGTCAGTGCGGTGGGGGAGGGGAAGTGAGTCTGTCTGGGTGGAGCCTGTATGATACGTTCACTGTGGATCAATTCTCTTCGCTGTAAGTTTGATTTAGTTTAGACTCCAGCTACTGGAAGAATTGTTTACTGATTTTTTTTCTTCTTCATTCATTTCTTTTGATTAGTTCTGTGCCACCACTTGCAATGTAGAATTCCAGTTTCCTCAAATTCAAACTGTTAAACCTAAGAGCGCATGGAGATCTTCTGAAAATCTTTCTCGACATAGAGTGCTGCAGGAATGACCGATTTTTGTAGGCCGCTCTAGAAGTTGGCATCATACTGCTTCTCTTGAGTGAAAAAAAGCAAAAAGGATTTTCCCACTGACTTCTGGATAATTGCCACAAAAAAAAAGTTGTGAACCATGAAAGTTTATGATTCTCATATGTTTTGCTCATTATTATAATCTTTAATAATAATCACAGATGAACAACTTTGATGCCTAAATGCAATCAGCTGAAATAAAAAGCTATACAAACTACACCATGGCTGCAGGACTTCACTGTCACCACCACTGTGTTTCTGCCAAATCTTGTAATCTTTAAAGGCAACAATTTGGAAAGTTAGAATATTTCGCAAAAGCATAAGCACAACAAGGCTGTAAAAGTAGACTTGTGAGTAGATATTCGCCTTAATGCTGTTGAATGGCCCCGACAGCCCCTGAAGTTCCATTTAGAGCTTTTTCAAGATACAAAAAAATAATGAGTGTGATTTTATGTTGCAGAATAAAACGTGAAACATATTGAGCTTCTGTTAACCACAGACTTTATTTCAGGTATTTAATCAAAAACCCACTGACTTCGGGATGATGGAACCCGAGGTTCAAAAATCCTAACTCGTTTCCCGGTTTTAGGACTCATTTCTTGCGGCACTCTATTATTAACTGAATGCAGTGCTGGTGTACGAAATGTTGGTTGTAGTTTTAGTTGCAGCGGATGTGTGTCAGCTTGCACTCTGGTCTCTTTTTCAACAGTGCTGGGATGTCACCCATGCTTCAGGTAGGCACACCACCATGCCCTTAATATCTGGTTAACAGTGTGGTTATGGGTTTAAAGTTCTTGTGTGTGATCTTGGTTAACTGTCAAGCAAATCATCTCCATTATGTTAAGTCATCCCTCTTAACATAATGACTTTGCAATACATGTGGTGGTTTTTTGTGTGCTTGCACTCAATGGATTTGTTGGTTTGCTTGTTTTGCATAGAGTTTGATGTGTAAAATGTAACTCATTACCATTGTTTAGCTATCGTCTTATGTCTTCCCCACCTTTCACCTACCCACCAGTATATGTAGCCGATCAGAGGTCCCTGTGCCCCCTCCCTACTCCCCCCAACATACATACATACATACATGCACACATACACGCTCACAAACACTCAGTCGGTCAAGAGCTAGTGTGATGACAGATAATGTGCTTTGTCATGCTGGTTGGTGTCATGTGTTTTTCCTATACTGGATGCATGTTTGTTACTTTTAGGCTCCCGTAACCCTGGTTGGCTGGCCACGGAGACAGGGAGTCCTCGTCTCAGTACTGTGGCTCTCCACATTAGACTTTCTGTTTGGGGTATCTACTTTCACCTCCATTTTTATCTATATTCAAAGGCTTGAAGCACAATTCCAACATTTTATTAGCTAAATCAGTCATTTGATATAGTGTGAGTTAATGTAGATTACTTTAATAATCGTCAAATTCCCATCATGTGCAAAGATCTACATTTAAAATGCATTTATGCGTACTTTAGGTGGTTATGGATTGACCATGAATGTAAGATGTGATCTTTGGCCTCTGAATATTCTGATGTTCTGAAGCGTAGGAGTTTATTGTTCCTGCTGAAATAATTTTCAATTAGACTAAAGCATTTTTTGATACATAGTCAATCATATTAGACTATTACCAAGGTCCATTATAGTATTTAAAATGTCACAGTAATCATCATAGTTAATTATTCATTTTATTTTAAAATATATACATACTGTAGACATTCATGGCACACATTTTTATACTGTTTAAATGTTCTAAAATAATAATTTAACTCTGAATTTGTTGTTTGTATGGTTTTGTTAGGCTGAAAGCACTGAAATGTACTTTTATAGAATGATTTTCCTTAAATGTATTCTTTGTCATTGCCATTTCTATTGGTTTTATATTCTAGTTCCAAAGTCGCAACAATTATCATAAAAAAAAAATGTAAAGACAATTTTTACGGATCTAAGAAACAGGGTCAGGATTGACTTTGACTTTAAACAGAATTGGATGAATGTGAACTGACCATCACTATGCCTTTTTTCTTTTCTGTAGGCTAAACATGTTCTCCAAGGGCACCAAGCGTAAGTTTTCCGATGGTGATGAAGAGATATCCGACGAAAGCCTGGTAGGTGCCAGGGTGGCATCTTCGTACAGCTTGCAACGGCAGTCGCTGCTGGACATGTCCCTCATTAAGCTGCAGTTATGCCACATGCTGGTGGAGCCCAACCTCTGCCGCTCGGTTCTCATTGCCAACACAGTCAGGCAGATTCAGGAGGAGATGACCCACGATGGCAGCTGGCATATGGTCACTGAAGCGTTCTGCGGACCAGGCCAGAGTCCCTCCGAGCGCTTGGTGGCCACTGAGGTCCTTTGCAGGTCGCGAGAGCAGGATGCAGAACCTAAACTCTTTTCTGTCATCAGCTACGAAGGTTGCCGTGAAGAGGAGGTGGTAGCTGATGAGACGCTGTGCTCCGTTTCAGTTAGCGATACTGTCTCTAATGTGTGCCTGGCAGGGCGTGTGGGCCAGTGCTGGGAGAAGAGTGAGCTCAGTGGTGTAGAGAGGGATGAAGAGGCCCTTGAAGACTCTAGACTTGGTTCAGGAGAAGATGAGGAGATAGACACCGAGGATGGGGCTTCTACAGAGAGTCCAAAGACCACTGGACAAGTTTTTGGGACATTTGAAATAAAAAACGGTTCTCCGGGTCCAGACTCTGCTCTTGAGGAACTGTTCTCTGATGTGGACACCTCCTACTATGATCTGGACACCATGTTGACTGGCATGCAGAGCGCACCCAAGATGGGGCCTTATGACCTCCTTGACAGCTTGGCACCTTCACACAGTTCCCCTTCCATAGTATCCACCCCGACCTGTCGTTCTGATCTCAATGAACTGGATCACATCATGGAAATCATTGTGGGTTCTTAGGTTCGACCTTATTCAGAGACTTACACGCTTGTCTTAATGTTACTGGCTTTTCTGTTCTTTATGGAAAGCAAGTAAAGTCTGGAGTCCTTTCAGGGAAAAGAGTTGATGTCTTTTGATGGATGGCCTTGATTTTATGAGCTGACCATAGTCATCTTATTTGCATACCCTTGGTATGTTTTAATGATTTTTCTGTATTTGTCTGTCCAGACATGCTGTTTTTTTAATTTAATTTATTTGTTATACTCCTGACACTACGGAGAGCAGAACAAGATGTATACAAAAGTTGTAAAGCTTGGGATATTTTCATAAGGAGACAAAAGATTGTCTAAATGTGTATATAAATTATATATTTTTTACAATAGATTCTTCTTGTAATATGTTACTGTACACTATGTACATGTTCTACAAATTGATTTTAACCGAAGAGATTAGATTCTTATGTGCAACAACTCAACAAGTTTTCCGTTTATCAAAATCCATAAACTGAAGGAACTTAATTCAGTACTACAATATACAAAAGGCACCAAGTATACATACGATGATGCATGTTTTACATTTATGTGCTTATTTGCGCAAAGTATTTTTTTTCCTCTCAAGGTTTGATTGCAGTTGGCTGTCAATCAGCTCAGCCGTAGGTTTTTTTTGTTGTTAGACGTCAAAGTTCTTATATTTTGTCTTATCAACAAATGAAGTGTAATGGGGCCAACCCATTTTTTATTGTGACTTAATTTATTTAATTTATTTACTGCAAACGGTGAGTGTTGGCTGTGGTCAAACTCGGGGTGGGTTTTTAACTCTAGAGGAATTAATAGGCCTGATTCACAAAAGTATTTTGCACATGGTAAATCGGTCACAGAATTAGTGCTTTGTGATTTGTTTTGCACTAATTATTGGTTTCAGTATTGATATTAAATAAGTTAACTGTTTTAATATTGGTGATTGGCTTAAGTATATCAGTCTATTAGTCCTCTAGACCCCTCATAACGAGAAGGCATTTGTCTAGTTCTATGCATTGAGTGTCATAACACACTTTATACATATGAAGTGTTTAAAATGCATTTAGTACAGTATTCTTTTTTTTATACTTAAAAATCAGTCAACAAGAGACGGTTTTATTTTGCTCAACATTTCCCCCCAGTTATTACATATATATATTATTTGGTTTTGTCAATTTTTGCATAAACTATGTTTGTGCAAATTATAGGTTATTACACTTTGATAATTGTTTTCTCCTACATTGTGTCACACTTCAAATCTAAGAGGATGTTGTTTATTGTATGATCTTAAACTAGTATAGAGTATAAACATTTTATATGAGCATTGTAGCTTTTTTAACGTTTTTTAATAAAAGGTACAACTTATGAAAATGCTGTGGGGTTTTTTTACTCCTGCAATCAACTATTAAAGAGATCAGCTGTCATCAATCTCTATAAATGCTCATGCCGTGTTGTTTCCATTTAGTGAAAAATTGATACAGCAAGAAAAACAATTAATTATTAATAATGCCAGGGAAACACATGAGCAAAACTCAAAATATTACCAGCGAATAAACGTACAGTAAGACCTCCATTCCTTAAATCAACGTCAAGGTTTCATTCTGCACGGAGCGGTTGTGACTCAAATGAACGTCAATGTTGAATTCCCTCCGCTCGCGCGCAGATATTATTAGATGTATGTCTGAAAATATTGTATTATACAAGCTACATAATTGTGAGGTTTTATTACCTACTATATCAGACTCCACTAAAAATCAGCTTGGCACAGCATCGTTTAGAGAAATTCTACTGTAAATCTAACTGTTAGCGTCTGTAGTATTCAAATACTTGTTAAGGTTTCTTAAAATAGACACGGGATGCTTGGCAAAAAGTAAATGGAAAGCCACAAACGTGCCATTTACAACGCAGTTTGTGCCGTAGTCCGGTAGCCGGTGTTCTAACGGTCACGTTTTCGGTCTGTGGGCATGTTAGGGGGACGAATGTGATAGACTAGAGAGGAGGGGCAGAAGACGCGTTCCACCAATCAGGGGCAGTTACTAGGCGGGTCTGAGATCGCGTTCGACCAATCACAGCCTTCCCACCTGACGACCGTTCAGCAGCTCAGTTCTTTTCCCGTTGATTCTACAGTGTAGCTAGAGTTCTTTTCTCGTGCCTGTGTAGAGACGCGATCGGTCGCGTAGTTTTGCGCAAAATAATGTTCAGAATTTGGACCAGAAGCTCAACGCGAAGTTCGGCGACCGATTTAAACAGCCGTACATCTTATTTTTATCAGCCAAGAGAATGTAGCGGTCATTCGAGGATCTTGGGTAAATTAATTTCGTAGTTCCATATAGACAGAGGCAGCACTTAACCAAGTACGAACTAGCTAACGGGCTAATTCATTGCGCATCCCTGTGAGCTTAGCCGCGGAGGCTAGCGGTGCGCGCGCATGTCTGCGAGAGTAGTTGGCTGTAATAAACGCTAAACAACGAAGCAACTGGTTGAGCCAAACATAATGGTATGGGTCAAAGGGACATCACAGCGTTCGAGGCGTCCATGAAACGAAAAAAAGGAATTCCCATTGCCTCTATGTGTCTACTGGATGTGGAGTCCGCTGTTGGGAAGAAGGAAGTTGAGCCCTCCGGAGGAGATGGTGCCCTTTCCTCGTCAAGGTAACGTTAACGACTTTGTCACAAACTGTTTTCTGGATGTCATTTGAGCCCGGTTGAAGACCTTTTAGGCATCATTCTGTTTTTGGAAATTGTTTTATATATTAACACTGTCCCGTTTTACGTAACAACTAGAGTTTATGTTGACGATACTTGAGCTTGTGCAGCTGTTACTCCGTCCACACTAGTTTATTTACAACTGGAGCAGTCCTAGCAGAAAGAATGTATGCTAGTTTTTATATCTGGATCATTGTGTGTGAGCCTATAAACACAGAAACCTTGGTACCTCGCGTTTTCTTCTGTACGTCGTACGTGGTCTCGGTTGCGTAACGTTGTCGATTTCGCCAAAATGATGTTTGGACCCGACTAACGTTCACTCGAAATATGTGACTTGACGGTTTTCTAGCAAACCTGTTATTAAAGAATAAAATAGTATGTCGTTACGATATTTCAGTCGTGTTTTCGCAAACATGTCTAAATAAAGTGTTATATCATATCATAAATCATTAGTGAAAGCCAAGAGTGCATGAATGCAGGTTTCAGTTTTACTAAAGTTTCAGAATTCGAATGAATGTGTAATTTTACATGAAGCTTTATGAGTATGTGTTTCATAGTATGTGTCTTTATACGCGAAAAACTCGAGGAGTGATTTAAAGTTACTGCAGTTTCAGTTTCAGCTGCCTTTCGGAAAGCGAAAGCCATAGTTTTTATTGAAAGCAGCTGTGGAGTTTAAAAATGCTACAAAATGTATTTGGTTGTTGTGATATTTATATTACATAGTGAGTTTAAGTGTAGTATGGTCACTTCTGGGTATTTTTTGGATAATTCACTTGAACCATAACAAGAATCACGTTTTTAAAGAAATGTACAGGTTTGTAATATGCATTTGACTTCTGCAGATGATAGCTGTCGGTTTCTACAGTAAGCAGAAAGTCAGTAGTGCCTAAACTAGGTTCTGCTCTCTCATGGCTGTCAAACAGTCAGTTAACTTCTTGCATAAAGGTTAACAGTTGTTTTTTGCATTTTTTTTTCTTGAATGGCTTATTAGAAGCCATTCAAGAAAATGAGTCTGAGTCCGTTATTAGAAGTGCGTAATCGAATGTAAAGCAGGGTTGTCAACAACTTGCGCCTCAGTCATGTATTACTTGCTAATTATTTCTTAGTAGGCAAGTATTCAGATTAAATGAATAAAATCCATCTGAATCTTATACTAGACTGAGGTTTCACCACTGACTCAAAGACTTACACCACTGATAAGACAAGCAGGCTTCATATGAGCGTGTGTTCACGTCTCTCAGCGTGACTAACACCCTGAGTCACTTCGTCAGACTGTTGGAGCCGCCTAGTTACAAAGCTGCCCAAACTAAGACATCCGGCCTGTCTTCCCAGTGGTTCATTATTCAAGACTTAGTCAGCTTGTCAATGGCATTTGCCACCTACTCCCTCCCTCCTACTCACAGTCAATCCCCTCTACTCTTTCTTACACTCCTCAACTCAATCTCTCGTTCTCTCCTATTTTCTCTCGCAGACTAACCTTTCTTGACGCTCCTGCTTGCTCTAGCTTATGTGCACCCTCTCTCTTTCCTGCTTTTTTAAAAGACTCTTTCCTGTTGTACTCTTTATCGTGACTGCCTCCTTTGGGGCAGTAGGAGGGAAACCGGAAGAGAAAAAGATGGAAAAATGACTCAACCACGTCAGTTCAGTTTGCTCTCGTGCAGGAAGTATCGTAGCTTAAGCCGGCCTAAGAGTTCAAGCAACTCTTATCTTTGTTTACTCTTAACACTGAGGACAGTGTGTGACTAAAGATCATTTCAGTGCTGTCTGTCACTTTGTGGTTTTCTATTCATTTATTTTTTTATGTACTAACCACACAGGGATGGAAATGAAGTCCTTATCTCTCTACCTTTAGTGAAACTGATGTATCTCTTTGTGTGGAGCTAGGCTGGGGGACATAAGTCATGCCTAAGTCGCATTTTTTATTTAATTCAGAAATAGGCCTAATGCCAATGCGAAATGTTTACAAATGTTATAAACATAGGCTATTTTAGTTCCCCTCACTCCACAACAAATCCTTTCAATTAACAGTATTTAGATAAAAACAAGAATTAAAAATATAAGAAGCTATAGCAATATAAACGAAAAAAACAAAATGAATTAATTTAGGCTAAAACTAAACTGAAACCAACGTCGGGTCTCTCATTCTCATTCAAAATGTAAGGTTTCCGTATTTGCGATGTATTTGAATGGCAAATTATTATTTATGTACTTCACTCGCGTTCCAATATCCACGTAAAACAAAATGTTTTGCATAACATCATGACGGTACTGTGATAACTCTTAACGGAACAGATTTTACTACATAGTTTTTTACTACATAGTTTTTTTCCCCATATGTTTGACTGACTTTTTTATTATGATAATGAACAGGCTGCATTGTCAAGGTAGCAATGCTTAAAGGGTTAGTTCACCCAAAAGTTAGGCTGCGTTTTACTCACCCCCGAGGCATCCTAGGCGTATATGACTTTCTTCTTTCAGACGAATCCAGTCGGAGTTATATAAAAAATTGTCTTTGATCTTTCAAGCTCTATCATTGCAGTCAGCTGGTGTTGCATTGCTTCAGTCCAAAAGAAGTTAAATAAAAAGTGCCCATGCAATAATCACTTGAATCTAGCTTGCGCTCACTGATGTAAACGGAAGCAGCTCCGAGCGGATGACGTATGAGGTCAGCTTTGCGCATGCGCCGCTCAGAAGTGACACACGCGGAAACGCAGCGGAGAGATCAAAACAAAACAACGGTCAAGAATTAGAAGTACAAAACGAGGATTTGTAAAGAAGAATGTCAGATGATTTCGATATAAGTCAAGTGGAGACTGGTTTTCCTTTGCTAAAGGAAACTTTGCTTCCTTTGATCCTGTAAACAAACGTTGGTTTTCACGAGACTCACCGGCACATGAGCAAAGCTGAACTCATACGTCATCCGCCCGGAGCTGCTTCTGTGTACAACTGCTGGTGCAAGCTAGATTAAAGTTATTATTTTGAAAATTTATATTTTTCTTACAAAAACGCATTCGCTAAAGGAGGTCTTTGTTCACCCCCCGGAGCCGTGTGAGACACTTAAAAAGAAATTTTTTTTTTAATTAAACAATTTCAAGGTCCTGGAGTGGCCTAGCCAGTCTCCAGATCTCAACCCCATACAAAATCTTTGGAGGGAGTTGAAAATCCGTGTTGCCCAGCGACAGCCTCAAAACATTACTGCTCTAGAGGAGATCTGCATGGAGGAATGGGCCAAAATACCAGCAACAGTGTGTGAAAACCTTGTGAAGACTTACAGAAAACGTTTGACCTCTGTCATTGCCAACAAAGGGTATATAACAAAGTATTGAGATGAAATTTTGTTATTGACCAAATACTTATTTTCCACCATAATTTGCAAATAAATTCTTTAAAAATCCTACAATGTGATTTTCTGGATTTTTTTTTCTCATTTTGTCTCTCATAGTTGAGGTATACCTATGATGAAAATTACAGGCCTCTCTCATATTTTTAAGTGGGAGAACTTGCACAATTGGTGGCTGACTAAATACTTTTTTGCCCCACTGTAAGTGAACAATAGCCTTTAAAATTACTTAAAATACATGTATAATAGCAATGAGGCAATAATAATTAGTTCAAATAAAGTATCGAAAGCAAGAAATATATGGTTTTATTGAACAAAATTGTTAAAATGCATAATGTATTATAAACCATAGAGCTAATGTACATTACGCATTACAACAAAGGCCTGCAGGGGGCGCCAACGGCCTGACGATTGTTTTTACACATTACTGTGCGACCTATATGTGATATGATGACCATGTGAAAGTTCTACACATTGGTTATTGGACACGTTAAGATAATCTGTTTTGCATATAAAAATTTGGTATCGTTGTATTGCCGTAGTGGGACTTTCCATGGTCGGCCTCACTTCTGAGTCACCAGGTAAAAAACAAACTGAAGTACCATCATGTGTATGTTAGTGGTTGATATTGTTTTTTTGACAGCCGATGCCGATTATCTTGGAAAGCAGGGTGGCCGATATAAAGCCGATATAATTTTATTTATTGTAATTAATATTTAAGAAATTTTAAAATAATTTGAAAATGGATTAAAAAATAAATGTGTTAAATAAACATACTTATACTTAAGATGACAAAGTATTTTTTCACAAGTAAATAAATATTTAATAAAAAATAAAATAAAAAAGGAAGTAAACACTGTAACCAACAGGGCACTCAGTATTCTGGGATGTTTGTGTGCATTGGGAATCATATTTTTTAAAATAAAGCTAAGGTAACACTCATTTTACATACAGCACACAGTGAAAATGACATTAATATGGCAGTGAGCAAATGGATAAAGCACAGCATAATTTGAAATCACGAGTTTAAAGTTTGTCAATCACGCGTCTTCAGTGAAGTTGAACTCTCCTCCTGTCAGCATTCAATTCACACGGATCGACCGTCACGCAGGATACACATGCACACATGCAAACAAGAAAGTATTATGTTTGCCTTTCTATTACTAATAATATAAAACCAATCGTTATAATACTTTTTGTATACATTTTAATTCCTTTGTTTAACCGTTCTATCTGATTAATAGACAGATTTCTGTCCGTATTAGACAGAACTGTTAACGATGACAGCGAACAAGAGGGAGAATGTGAGCACTGTGTGCTCAGGCGCTGCCACTCTCAGTGCCGTCAAAATAAATGTCCCGTTTCGAACGCATCGGCCAAACAGGAAAACTTATCGGCTAATGCCGATATTTTAAAAATGCCAATATATCGGCCTTGGCAATATAATGGTCGACCACTAGTATATGTGCAGACCTGAAGTGATGCAGCGCAGCATACTCTACTGCAATGCTGCCTCTTCTATGGATCCCATTGTGTTCTCCCACTTTGATGGTCGTCTCCGTAGTTGTGCTTATTGTCTTTGAGCTGCAGACTCTGTGCCACTCAA